TTTTTTTTCTACAGAATGTTCTATTTTGATCTAGAGACACCTGAAATCTTAATAATTTGACTTGTAACTTAACACTTATTCAATTTTTCTCTCCACTCATTCATTCAGCAAACACATACTAAGCATCCACATTCAAATGCTAAATTCTAAAACAGTTCAAAGTATCAGATAAAAAAACTTAGTATTTGTCATAACCTATCATTTTTTCTTCAAGGTCCAGATCTATAAAAACTAAGATTCCAGTACTGGCATAGAAACAGACACATAGACCAATGAAGCAGAATATAAAGCCCAGAAACACATGCGTGTACAGCTAACCAGTTTCTAACAGAGGAGTCAAGAACACACAATGGGAAGGAAACAGTGTCAGGAAAACTGGACATCCACATGCTAAAAAGAATGGCATTAGACTCTTTTCTCGCACCACGTACAAAAATCAACTCAAAGTAAAGACTTAAATAAATGTAAGACCCCAAATTATGAAACTACTAGGAGAAAACATAAAGGAAAAGTTCCATGACATTGGTCTGGGCAATGATTTTTTGGATATGACTCCAAAAGCACAGGCAACAAGCAAAAGCAAAAGTAGACAAATGGGATTGCAGCAAACTAAAAAGCTTCTTCACAGAAAAGGAAACGATCAGCAGAGTGAAGAGACAACCTATGGAATGGGAGGAAATATTTGCAAATTATACATCTGGTAAGGAGTTAATATCCAAAATATACAGGGAACTCAAACAACTCAATAGCATGAAAATGAATAGTAGATTTAAAAATAAGCAAAGACTCTGAATCGATATTTCTCGAAAAAAGAAATGGCCAACAGGTACATGAAAAAATGCTTAATGTCACTAATCACCAGGGAAATGCAAATTCAAACCACAATGAGATATTACCTCACACCTGTTAGAATGACTATTATCAAAAAGACAAAAGATAACAAGGGTTGGTGAAGATGTGGAGAAAAGGGAACGTTTGTACACTTGTTGTTGGGAATGTAAATTAGAACAGCCATCATGGGAAACAGTATAAAGGAAACTCAAAAAATTAAAAATAGACTATTCAGCAATCCCACTACTGGGTATATATCCATAGGAAATGAAATCAGTATATCATAGAGATATCTTCTCCTATGTTCACTGCAGCATTATTCACAACAGTCAAGATATGAAATCAACCTAAGTATCCATCAGTGGATGAATGGATAAAGAAAATGTGGTGTATATACACGCTCAGCCTTAAAAAAGAAAAAAATCTTGTCATTTATGACAACATGGATGATCCTAGAGGATCCTATGTTAAGTGAAATAAGCCAGGCACAGAAAGACAAATACCACGTGATCTCACATATATGGAATCTAAAAAAGTTAATATCACAGATGTAGAGGATAGAATGATAGTTACCAGGGACTGGGGTTGTTGTGGGAGGTTGGGAGTACGTTGGTCAAAAGACAAAAAATTTTAGTTAGACAGGAGGAATAAGTTCAAGACATCTATTGTATAACATGGTGACTATAGTCAATAACATATTGTGCTCTTGAAAAATGCTGAGAGTGGATGTAAAGTGTTTTCGCCACAAAAATGGCAGCTATGTGAGGTAATGCATAGGTTAATTAGTTAGATTTAGTCATTCAACCATATATATATACTTCAAAACATCATGTTGTACACAGTAAATACATACGATTTTATCTGTCAACTTAAAAAATTAAATTGAATTATTTTTTTAAAAAAGGGAAAAAATGCAAAAAGAAAAAAAGCTCCTACTTCCTTATTAGTCTACTTTGTTAAATCTCAGTTTCCAGCCACTTCACATTGCACAAAATACTTGCTGTGGTCATTAATAGCCTCCTACTTGTGAAACTCAGTGAACACTCTGATATTCTAAACCCTCTCTGACTTATCAGAGGCCTCTGTTGCCATTAACACTCCCTATTGCTTAAAATGCTCTCCTTTGACTTCAAAGGTACCCCACTCTGTTGCTTTTCTGTCTATTTGCTCATTGTTGTCTCCTCTTCGTGCCTCTCATTCTATTTTTCTAGATCCCATCTTCAATGGTCGTGTCTTTTCACTGCAAATGCTCTTCACTGGCTTACCCACTCCCAGTTTTTTCTTCCACCATCTCGGGCACTTAAATCTTCTTTGCCTCAGTTTCTTTATATGTGAAGTAGAGTTAATAATAACAACCACTACTAATATTTAATATTACTGTGAGGAATAAATGAGGTAATATATAGAAAATGTACAGAACACATCCTAGCACATTGTAAATTAGTTATTGCTATTTTTAAAAATGCACGTACTAATGACTCCACAAATCTGATCACTGGCTTCAACTCATCTCCTCTAATCTCCAGAATTATGCTACTAAATTTCTTCTGAATAATTTCATTTTGATGTCCTACATGTCTTAATCTGTGCAAAATAAAGAATTGCATCCCTTCTCCACTTAACCCACAAAAGCTGATTCTTCTGTATCTGCCACTCATCCATTCATTTATGCACACTTTCATAATTTACTGAGCACCCACAACAAATCAGGCACTGTGTTATGCATGAGGAATAAAAAGGTAAATAAAACAGACCTGTTCTCTGCCTGTGGGTCTCGTAATTTGAAAGAAGAAGAAAAAAGAAGTCTGAGTGGGATCAAAAGGAGCCACTATGCTAAAAAGGATTGGAGGAGGGAAGTATTCCAGCTGGGGAAGCAGCAAGTATAAAAGCCAATTGGTAGAAAAAAACACTGGAATATTCAGAGAGCTGAGAGGAGGCTGAAATTTTTGGAGCTTAGCAAGCAAGAAGAGCGAAGCACAAGAGGCCACTGGAGAAGCAGGTGGAAACAGATCACAGAGGACCTCAGAGGCCCCGGTAAGAAGTCCGGAGTGTACTCTAAGGGTAAGAAAAGGACACTGAAAGGTTTTAGGTAGAGAAATGACACAATCCTATTCACATTTTTAAAAGATCATCCATCTGCCTGTTATGTGGAGAACTGAAAATATTGATGAAGATTAGTAATGGAAAACCAAATTACAAGGCTCTGTCATTAGACCAAGTAAAGGATGATCATTGTTTCGATTAAGATATTGGTGTTGGTGGTGGAAAGAAATGCAAAAATATTAAATGTATTTTGGAAGTAGAATCAACCTGACTTGGTGATAGCTTGGATGGCACAAAGAGAATCAATAAGGTATCAAGAATTTCTTGATCTTGATATGTACCCTGTTTTAGCTAGAAAGTTGAAGTCATCCACAATTGTTTACTCTCCCTTAGCATGAACATACAATCAGTTCTCAAATCCTGCCCATTCTAAGGCCCAAACATCTCTCAAGTGCTATCTCTCTTTTCTAGACACACAGATATTCTCAATTGCTTCCTTCCCCCTGACTAACATAGGCTCTCACCATTTTCTCAGAGCAGATTTCCTTTAAAATAATTTAACAGGGACAGAGTGTGGGCAGGAGTGGGGAAGACAGGTGAAAAAAGAGTTCATTTGTTAATAATTATTGAATCTGGGTGACGGACACAGAAGTCCTTATACTATTGGCTCCACTTTTGCAAATATGTAAACATTACAATAACAAAAGTTTAAAACAAACAAATAGAAAAGCTACCCAACAGCCTGCTAATTGACTTCCCTGCTACACCTGTCTAGTCCATCTCTTTCAGGCCTTCATACAGATATACTAAGCAAATTGTCATGTCCCTCCCATTCTTTAGTTCTTAACCTTCTTTTTTTCTTACAACAGGACTTTGACCAAAGTAACCCTCTGGAGAAAAAAGTAGAAGAGGGGAAATTTTAACACTAACTTGATTAGAGTTCAGCCCAAAGAAGTCACTATAAACCCCAAATCTTTGGAGTATTTTTTGAAGTCATGAAGATTTTACATTCCAGTTCCTAATAGTCTATACCTTTTAAATAAAAATGTGTTAAATTTGAGGCTTAAAGAAAAAATTATGTCCTATCTCATTAATTAATGGGCAATTTGCTATTGCATTCAATCCTGAAGTATTTATTTGAGAAATTTGGGGTGAATTGAGATGTCAGATATTGAGCTCAGCATAAAGGCAATAATATGTCTTCTCTACCTTGGTTTTTCAATATTCAACAACTTACATGTGTTTATCTATACATGAATAAACAAACAAAAAAAACCCTTTCCACTATTACATGCACTGTGTCAGAGTTATCACTGAATCATGATGACCAGAATACAGCTGCTATGTGTTAAAGGTATCCCCCAAAAGTTCACATGTTGGTAATTTGATCCCCACTGTAACACTGTTAAGACGGTGGGAAATTTGATTATGGTATTTGAAAGGTGTGGTCTTTGAGAGGTTATTGGATCATGAAGTCTCTGTCCTTATGAACAGATTAATCCATTCATGGGTTAGTGGGTTAATGATTTAGTGGGTTGTCATGGATGCAGAGTGGTGGCTTTATAAGGAGAGCACATGAAAGTTCTTGCATTACAGTAGACAGTCACCACCAAGAAGGCCCTCACAAGAAATGCCCCCATGGACTGTGGACTTCCCAGCCACTAAAATTGTAAAAACAAATTTTGTTTCTTTATAAATTACCCAGTTTCAGGTATTCTGTAATCAGCAACAGAAAGCAGATGAACACAGCAGTGAGGGAAGTTATCTGAAGATGCAACTACAGGCTTCTGTGAATAGAATCCTCATAAGCTTGAAAAGGGTCTTTTTACTGTGTCAAGGTTAAGCTGATTTAAATGCTTTGAACACTTATGAGTCAGAAACTACTAGTAGTTCCTACATTCAACTATCCTTTTTCTCAAACTTTATTTTCACTGTAGTATTTTAAGTACTCAGTCTTGAAAAAAGATCTGCTAAATAACCCAATTTTAGGAACTGTTCTTTACCATTACAGTTAAAATGACCCAATTACATTATTTATGTTTTATGTTTTATCTTCTTTTTCCATGAGGAAAAATTATATTTTCAACCCTGACTGTAAAAACATTAGAACTAGTACCTTCCCCAATTAAACTGGTTTATATCTAAGCAGCAGATCATTAAATTAACTTTCTGCCTGAAAACATATTTGTTGAAAAAGATATTCAAACCATAACATTTTAAAAAATTATAATATTTTTGTCACATCATCGAACACCCTGAGAAAATATAAAGGCAAGAAGTTTCTGGTTAAGAGAGTGAAGGATTTGATGAAAACCTTTGATGGGCAATAAGCCTGACCTTCCAAAGATTCCAAAACTAACCCTGAAGGAAGCTTCTGAGCCAACAGTATTTGTTATTTTACAAAAATAAATAAACAAAATTTCCCGTAATTGTTCTCAAACTCTGCATGATTGGTTTTTAGGTGTTACTCTAGGAATAGTTTTATGCAGTTTTTGATTTTTTTGATCTGGATTTTCCATCATAAGATACAACATGACTTGGTACTCCTTTGCATTTTCATAACAAATAAAATCCATACTTTAAGTAGGCATTAAGGTACCTACCGTACTTATTGTGCTAGTGTCTGGGTTTTTTTGTTTTTGTTTTTTAGCAGCTGTCTGATACAGGTATCCAAACCCTTGACCCTGGTGTTCTAACACCATGCTCTAAACTATTGAGCTAACCAGCCAGCCAAGTTTCACATTCACTGGGAAGATCCTAAGGGGAAAGCGGAGGCTATCACAAACTAAATGATATCTGTGTTGATTCACTGTGCCTTGAGAAGTCAAGCCTAAAAGTTTCCTGATTTAATAAACTTTCCAAGTTCCCAGTTAAAAATGCAATTTTCAAAAATCCTGATGCTTTAAAAATACAGATTAAAATGACACTAAAAGAGTTTAAAAGTATTTGCTATTTTTTCATTTTTATGTGCATGCATTTTAAAAATGTAAACTTTTAAAATTTATTTTCACGTAAATCTCCTAGTAAAACTGAAGCTCCAGAAACATATGACATTTTTATCACATGCCTTCATACCCTTTGCCTTTTCCCTCAGGACACTCATGGGGGCAGGCTAACTATGGAGTCTGCGCTTCCCCACCTAGCACAATTCTTTCAGACTGAGCACCTTTCTGACTTGAAAATTTCCTCATTCTCCTTCCAGACTCTTCCCCTCCATCCATCATGCACCACGGTGTTTCAAAAGTCTCCTCGCATGGCCTTTTACACCAAACTCGCTCTGGCATGTATTGTTTTCTCTGCTTACATCTCCCTTCCTCCTCCTTGTCTCCTGGTAAACTCATCCTTTAAATAGTTCAAAGGTCTGAGTCTCCATGAAGTCTTCTCCAAACCTGGGTTCCTATGCACCTCCATGTTGTAAGGTATTTGTTCAATGGCTTGGCTTCTTGAGGGCAGGAAGAGGGTCTTACTTATCTTTTATCACAGGAGTCCAACCCAGTCTAGTTGCTAGATGCACCTAACTTCTAGTTAAATGATTCATAAAATGCTGTATTTGTCCTTTGTCTCTATTTAAAATATCTACTAATCACTTAAACTCAGAAAGTTAGAGATTAATAAGGACCAGTTAAGCTGAATTTGTGACAGATTCCATTACAAGTATACACCTAAGAGGCAAAGATGACAGAATTGGATGAAGCCTCCCTGTCTAGATTTCTGTACTGGGTTATCAAGAGGCATTCATCTCTTTCTCCTAGAGACATTTATTCACAGGAAAGAATTTCATATTTTTTTGAAAGCTGTAGATATAATACTAACAAAACATAAAGAGAAAAGAAAAATTATCCTTTCTGTCTCTGTAAGTCTATAAATAGTGTTTCTGAACGCCAAAGCACACTGACAGAAGGTTTGGGGATAAACCATACTCAACAGAAGAACATCATATGAAGAACAGTAATTTATTGGCTTTTACTCTCAACATGCCTAACACAACAGTTCTTATTTATGGTTGCTCCCAACTTACTTCATCATGGCATGGAATGAAAACTCTTCTATTTAATAACTCAATGCAGCGACTGCAATCGTGCTCAGTACAATTCCTAACAGGTCTTCTTGTTGTTACTTCAAGTGATTTCTCAATTTCCCAGCTCTCAATAAATAATTCTATGTCTTCCATATTTGTAATAATTGTGCCATTTTGCATCCTGAGATCATCATCTGGATCTTCATTGCAAATTCCTTGAAAGCATATGTAACATTTAGGAGGAAAAAATTCACTTAAACCAAGTGTAGGCAGCACATCTAAAATCAGCTTAATTGATTTAAAATGAATGAATTACTTACTGAATGAGGTGCCAAATTTATGTGTCCTTTGACTTTAACATTAATAGAATTTTTTAAGTTATGTGTCTGATGGTTTCATAAACAAGTATAAAACTGCTTTAACCAGATAAGGTAGAAATCATGAATCTAGAAGTCAAGATAATGTGAAAAGATCATAGATTAAGAAAGAGGAGATTGATTCTGGTCCTACACTCTTCCACTATTACCACCATCTCCTAACTTAAAAGCTAGTTTTTAAGCCTGGTGGGGCATTTCCCAGAATAGCAGATATTTGTTAATTGACACCCAGTCTCCAGGGAAAACTCTGCCTGAAAAACATTAAATTTTTCCTTTTAGGAAACTAGTTTTTAAGCCTGGTGGGGCATTTCCCAGAATAGCAGATATTTGTTGATTGACACCCAGTCTCCAGGGAAAACTCTGCCTGAAAAACATTAAATTTTTCCTTTTAGGAACTATTGCTGCCCTATCTAGTGCATGACACTACCCCAAGTGAGGGCCCTGATTGGACTAAAGGTAACCTTTATTCCCTGTGTTCGTGACTGTTACAGGTAATCCAGGTATAAACCAACCTGCTCGTAGCAGTCACGTGGATGCATGGATTCATTCAATGTTAGGAAAACCATTGCCACGCTCAGGACTTAAACTGGGAATTATAGGACCCAGACAATCTCCCCTCATTAGATGACATGGCCTGTTGATGGCTATGATGCTTTGACCTGCTACAGCCTCTAGCTTCCTTAAGGATGGCCAGACTGAGGATGAGCTTACTTTTCATTCGGTAGAGTGCAGAGCCAAGAAAAGTACAGAGAAATGGGCCCAGAACCCTGACCATGTTTCCTCCCTAATTTGACATAATTTTTCTTAATTCCCAAAACTCTAGGCTACAAAACATTTGAATTAAACATTTTCTTCAAGTATCAAATCAATCTCCAAGCAGGTGTATCAGGATGAATAAAGATTGCTATGGGTGCAGATGCCTCACCCCTGTAAATATGTACAGTACTGAGCACAATAAAACAATAAAATAAACTCAAGTTAAGTAAACTATATTGTAAAGCAGCTACTATTGTTTTAAGTCAAAACTTTTCTGGAGAAAGGAAATTGCTAGTAAAAGTACGTTTCACTGCAACTCCAGCACCCCCTACTGCAGACTTCACAGTGCTGTGTAGAATGAGATGTCAATGTAGGCCTCCCATTCTGGTGTCCATGCTCAGTTTGGGTCACACTCTTGTTCACTATAACATTTTCAGCAAATACCAAGCCTAGTGTTCCCAACAGTACCCAGATTTTCCTTTAATTAACCACCCTTCTCCAGTGTGGAGGTCATGCAATTTAGGGGGTGACCCTTGGTTAGCAAAAAAGGTGATCCTAGCCCCTTCTCTATAGCACTTAGTTAAGAATCTAGTTAAGAAAGTGTTTGTCTACATAAAAGCAAGATCTATCAGCAAAGGAGAAGAAAAAAGGATGAAAATCAAACAGAAATCGTACCACTCAGAAGTGATAAATCATAGGAGAACATATGCATTCCCAAAGTCGCTGGGCTTTTACTCAATAGTAATTATTGAATTACTATGTATAGCCAACAATAACTATTTCCACAATGATAACCTTAAGTCATTATAAAAGTTTGTGTTATGTTTAGCATTCTCTAAATAAGCAAAGAAATATGCAAACCATTTTAGCAAAACTTTCCACTAAATGTTTATATATTTAAAGAAAATTTGAGGTATTTCATATAATTTGTTGAGAGCAAGGGCCTAATCTCATTCATTTTTGAGTTGCCAGCATCAAGCAGAGTGTCACACACAGAAGGTGATCCATATACTTTTAATTAATATTGAGTGGGGTTAAAATAGAAATCTTTGTCTCAAACTAACATTTACTGACTGCATGTATTAAGCAATGTGTTAAATGTTTTACATTAACTTTCATATTGAATCCTAACAACACTCTTGAAAGTAGATATTACTATCCTCATTTTTAAAATGAGGAAAGTGGCATTCTCTCAGCACTGAGCTGTGAAAGGGATAGCTTGTCTTCAACATTCCAGCAGATACCAGGGCCAATATTCTTTTTATTATGTTTGCTTCCTTTGCCTTTTAATTCTTTATATATCTATGTAACATATTGCAATAGTAAACCTAGGTGTGAAGGTGTATCTAAGCCTTACACTTTATAGTAAAACTAGGAGAAATATTCAGAATATTGTGTTCCTTTCAAAATGACTTACACAAGTAAGTTTTCCCTACCTTCAAATCTTAAATAAAGAAGAAACAAAGACATTTAAGGCTTTAACCTTTCTATGCCTCGTTCTAATCACTTAAATTGAGATAACACTAGTACCTACTACTCCTTAGTGTATGTTAGAATTGAGTTAAAACATATAAAATAATGCCTGACACTTCTGTAATGCCCTGTAAAGACAATCTAGTAGAAATACAGTGTCATAGTAATAATGATAAGCATACATTTTAATAAAATGCCCAAATTGAACTATTTCTTGCTTCTTAGCCCATTTATCTAAAGCCATTGCTTCCTTCAGCATTTACATGGGCACTGAAAGTTAATATCACATCTGAAGTTTGAAAAATGGGACAACAGGATCCAAAATTGTATAATGTGGACAGGAAAGAAAAATGTTGGAAGAAATCAAGATTTGAAGAGCAGTGCTCACCGCAAAGTCCTTCTGTGTAGGATGATAAGTTAAATCGGGGGCCAAAATGAATATCTATGATTCCTGTAAGATGAGCCCACTTTATGGTTAGTCCAGCTGGAGTAGTGATCATATACATCGAACCAGAATCCTCTATGGACAGTTCTTGATTTGAAAAGGGCAAAGGTACAATAACAGAATCCACCTTTACCTAAAATAACATAAATCCACCTGTTAGAAAAATATTTACTTAAATACTCACTCATTAAACTTAGGATAACAGGGAGTATTCTACTTCTTCTGATTTAATATGAACTATTTTCCAAATTTCTAAAATTGATTTCTTTGTTGCTGCCACAGCTTCTCATAACCTCGAAGCTCTTTTATTGTTCCTTTGCTTTGCCTTGCTATATTCAGTATTTGTCCTAACCTCACTGCCTTTTACTTTCCTCAAAACTTAACTTTCTTCTATGTTATTCATGCTTTTATGTCTGTTTCCCTCAATACTCAATACATGTCAATTAAACCATTACCATGTAATATGAATTTAAGGCAAATTTAAGTTGTTCTCAAGTTGTTTTCTTTAATTGGCTTTTTTTTTCTTTTTTCTATCTTCAAATCAGTATTTGTTTAATTGTAATGTTCATAACAATCGATTAAACCATTACCATGTAATATGAATTTAAGGCAAATTTAAGTTGTTCTCAAGTTGTTTTCTTTAATCCGGCTTTTTTTTTTCTTTTTTCTATCTTCAAATCAGTATTTGTTTAATTGTAATGTTCATAACAATCATCTGTCAAGCTTGATAAAGATCAAGATTCGCAGAGATTGTACTTCTTACGTTTGGATTGGATTCTAGACTGTATTTTTAGCATGTACTCTTTGGTAATAACAATGTAGGCAGTCCAAGGATTATACTTTGGAAAATGGTGTTTTAAAAAATGGTAATGACGTGGAACTATGAGCTGCAATGAGCAGTAAATTTCTCGGAGTTATGCCTCACCAACTATGCCATTTCTTATCCTTATATCTTGCTTATCTGCCGCCCTCAGGCTAAATCATCCTTCCTCTTCTTCTTTCTACTCATTTTTTAAGATTTACCTTAGGTTTTGGTGCCTCCAAAAAGCTCTCTTTGACCCTCCTATAAACTGCATTAAGTAACCTTCCCTCTGTTTCCATGATGTCTTAGTCCTAATTCTATCACTGCCTCCTCATGCTTTCTAATCAGCAGATAACTACATTTATGCAAACCTCACACAACTACAAGTTACTTGAGATCAGGACCTGTGTTGCTTTATCATGTACACTCTCACTAAATAATTTTTAAATGATTAATTATTAGCTAAATACACAACCACTGAATGACTAGAGACAAGTTTGCCTGAGTCAGAAAAATAGCCCTCCTGCCCAGATGCTCAAAATAATGGCAGAGATCAGCTTTGAGTTTATTTCCCAACCAATTCCTGTTAATACATCAACCTCATCAAAATCAAAGGTACATACAAATGCTATCATCCAAAAAAGTACCTTACTCATATATTTTAAGTTTTACTTAATTAAAAATTTTTAAACCTTATTATATTTTAGGCTCATTTTAA